ATAAGCAGTAAATTCGACCTTGCCTACCAACGGCTCCTTTGTGGCCGAGACGGTAAGGCATGTCAGCAAAAATGATGACGGTTCCATATAGGATGCAGGTTCGAATCCTGTCAAAGGACGAATATTTTCTATGAAAATTTCTTATTTTTCAGGCGATAAATGTTATTTAATACTGTTTATTATAAACAGAGCATTTACTTAAATACTTGTATCTATAAAAAAAAAAAAAAAAAATTAACATTAAAAACAAAATGTGGTTATATATATATATATATATATATATATATATATATATATATATATATATATATATATATACAGATGAAAAAGATTAGCGATATCTAAAATGACTAAAAATTTAGTTGATTTGGCAATATTAGACTGGCAGCAAGATCTCATCAATTTACAGTTGAGCTGGCTAGATGTAGCCATAACTTCTATGCTGACAGATTTTATTCTCACACTTCTCACTTGTGGAACTCCCTTCTGACTCCATGCTTTCCAGCCAAATTTAATCTGCAAAAATTTGATTGTGGAAATCGGATGTCTAGCCATACTGATGAGTTGCGAAACAGTCTGTCTGTAGATGACTATACGTATATATATATATATCTATATATATATTATTTATTTTAGGATATTAAAACAAAAACATGTTAAAAACTGCTACACAATTGCAATTATATTTCAACACCACAAATGTGTCTTCTCAGGCAATGGTAAACTATTGGTTAACATTGGCCAAGGAGACACATTTGTAGTATTGAAACAATTGCAATTGTGTAGTGATTTTTATTATGTTTTTGTTTTAATATCTTAAAATAAATTATATATAGCTCTAATCTGTATTGAGCCCTCTTTTAAATTAAATGTTACATACAGTGGAATTATACTTCATTTGTTCTCATTTTACCTCGCTATATATATATATATATATATATATATATATATAAACACACACACAGTGGTTTGAATGAATCCAACTTGAAAATTAGGATCAACTACATACAAATATTAAAGCACACTGCTCCTCTCAATGATGGCCTTACCTGCCACTGTAGCTTTGTTGCATGCAGTAAAGCAGGTCTTGCTGTCCACTCTTGGAATCATGTAGTAATTGATTCTTAACTATTCGAGTGAAATGGGTCTGCCACTTGTTTCATCTGTCCAAAAGTCTTCAAAACACCAGTAGGCCTCAGGAGACACTTGTGTCCGTAAACATTGTGCACCTCTTTTTTCTACTATGCCCTCATTTGTTGTCCATGATAAAAAAGTCCATCGTATAAAACATAAGTAAAACAGAACTCATTTGGTTCTGCTTTCTGTGACTTAAAGTTTTATGTTAACACTTAAATGTTTGATGTAGTTGTCACACAATTCTCAATGGCAACGTTATTCATTTCCTTATGATGAGAGAATATGAAATTGAGTATTTCATCACTCTTACAATGTGAGACAACAGCATCAACTTGTAAGTGTGCACCTGAAACTTTAAATCACAGAAATCAATAGCATATAAGTATTGTTTTATTTATATTTTATATGGTGGACTTTCTTGTCATGGCTGACAAATTAGGATTGAGTAAAATAAAGAGGTGCTGAACTTCTATGGACACGCACGTCTTAATTATATTTTACTTTGAGCAATGTCTTTATAATATCCATCTTTGCCTCTATTTATGCAAAGGAGCTGAAAACTATGAAACTGCGAAAGAACCATGACACCCTACACATGTGTACAGGGTTCATGCATACATACACATGTGTACACACATACACAAAGAAGAAAAAATTAACCTAACACCAATAGAAAGTGCATAAAGTATGATTTT